GATTTTGGCTGGGGGATGGGCGGGGAAGATGGCGCTGGCGAGCGCCTTTGTTCCCCACCAAACTGAGCTCTGTGGTCCAGGGGCTCAGCAGCTTTCCTTCCCTTTGTCCTCCAGCCTTCCCGCTTTCTGAGCAGAGCTGTTAACTTATGACCTCCCAGCCGCTAAGTCGCGCTTGCTGTCGGAACACAGTCCGTCAGGCCCCTCCGCTTTTTGCAAGCCAGACTCGGGGGCTCTGCTTGGCCGGCGAGCCGCCCCTCCACCCCGGCTCCCTCCCGCCAGTCCGTGGAGCGCGCACCGCCTCGCAGCCCTTCCTACCCTCTTTCGTGGGCCTCTAGTCTGCGCTTGGCTCCGGCGACTCCGTTCTGCTAATCCTCTGGTGGTTTTCTGGGTTATTTAGGCAGGTGTAGGTGGAATCTAAGTGATCAGCAGGACGCGCGGTGAGCCCAGCGTCCTCCTATGCCGCCATCTTCCCTCAGACCCCCTTCCATGTACTTTTTAATTTCCTCTTTAACTTCTTGGTTAGCCCATTCATTCTTTAGTAGGATGTTCTTCAGTCTCCAAGTATTTGTTACCTTTCCAACTTTTTTTTCTTGTGGTTGATTTTGAGTTTGATAGCTTTGTGGTCTGAAAATATGCATGGTACGATCTCGATCTTTTTATACTTGCTAAGGGGTGATTTGTGTCCCAGTATGTGGTCTATTCTGGAGAACGTTCCATGTGCACTGGAGAAGAATACATATTCTGCTGCTTTAGGATGAAATGTTCTGAATATACATGTTAAGTCCATCTGGTCCAGTGTGACAATGACTTTTTAGATACAACACCAAAGCATGATCCATGAAAGAAATAATTGATAAGTTGGGTTTCATTAAAACTAAAGCCTTTAGCTCTGTGAAAGCCAAGGTCAAAAGAATGAGAAGTCACAAACTGGGAGCAAATATTTGCAGAAGACAAATCTGATAAAGATCTGTTATCCAAAATATACAAAATACTCTGGAAACTCAACAGTAAGAAAACAACCCAATAAAAGAAGCATCAAAGATGTTGGGGTGCCTGGCTGGTTCTGTTGGTAGAACATGGGACACTTGATCTTGGGACTGTTAATTCGAGCCCCATATTGGATGTAGAGATTGCTTAAAAGAGGAGGTCAAAGACCTTAACATGCAACTCACCAAAGAAAATATACAATGACAAGTAAGTATATACTTCATATGTCATCACAGAAATGTAAATTAAAGCAACAGTGAAATATCACTACACAGCTATTATAATGGCCCAAATCCTGATTACTGACAACATCAATTATTGGCAAGGCTTTGGAATAACAGGAACTCCCATGCATTGCTGGTAGGAATGAAAAATGGTACAGCCACTTTGTAAGACAGTTTGGCAGTTTTTTACAAAACTAAACATATACTGGGGTGCCTAGGTGGTTCAGGCTGTTAAGCATCTGACTCTTGATTTTGGCTCAGGTTATGATCTCACAGTTCATGAGACTGAGCCTTCTGTTGGGTTACATGCTGACAGTGCAGGTCCTGCTTGGATTCCCTCTCTTTCTCTCTCTCTCTCTGTCCCTCCCCCACTCACACCCTCTCTCCCTCTCAAAATAAACATTTTTTAAAAACACACAAAAAAGTAAATATATACTAATTATAATATCCAGCAATTATGTTCCTTATTTCATACTCAAAGGAGTTGAAAACTTATTTCCACATAAAAACCTGCACATGGATGTTTCTAGTAGCTTTCTTTAGAACTGCCAAGACTTGGAAGCAACCAAGATGCTCTTCAATAGGTGAATGCTTAAATAAATTGTGGTATATCCAGATAGAGAATACTATTCAGTGCTAAAAAGAAATGAGCTATCAAGCCAAGAAAAGACATGAAGGAACCTTGAATGCATATGAATAAGTGAAAGAATCCAATATGAAAAGGCTATATGTACTGTAGGATTCCAACTATATGGTATTTTGGAAAAGGCAAAACTATGGAATAAAAGATCAGTGGTTGCCATGGTTGCCATCAGTGGGAGAAAGGCTGTATAGGGACAGCACCAAAAGGGCTTGAGGTATATGGGAAATCTCTGTACTTTCTCCCAATTTTGCTGTGACCCTAATGGTTCTCTAAAATATAAAGGCTAAAAGGTGATCCCTAATATTGTCATTGTGAAATTTTGAGCCTGAATGAATTTTCTTTGGTTGGAGTATATGCCTACCTAGTGTCTGACTAGTTTATACCAAACCCAGCATCAGAAAACCTTGTGTACAAATTCTACACAGCTACCTAAAAGCAATGTTACTTTGGGCAAACCACTTCACCCCAAAATGTACATACTAGTAACAACTTCACAGTATTGTGACCACGAATTAATTAACATGTATAAAGAGTCTAGCCTATAATAGATCTGCAGAAAACTCTATTTCCTTTTTTCTTTTCTACTAAGTTTCCACTTAGTTCTAGTACTAGGATTTTTACCTGGAACCAGAGGATCCTGATATTCTACTTTTCCAGCAAAACTCCAGTATGTTCAAGCAAAAAACCCTCTACATTCCTGCAGCTTGCACAAAATCCTTCTATTTAAATGTTGAGAAGTACTTAATATCTGATAAAAGCTTTCGAGATTTTCCTTGTTACAATATATTACATTCTTCAGACAACACTGAATGATTTTCTGTTCATTCCATCAATACCATAATTGAATACATATTACCCTTTTATTGATTTATCCCCCATCACTGTGGATAATTTTATCCTGCGACTTGGCTAATCACGTCTTTTCTGAATAGGTCAGTCACCGGCATTGAAGGTATGAAAAAATTGGGACAAGTCATCTGTAATAGCTGGAAAACTTCAGAACCTGACAAATATCTTGATTGTTCAGGGTGGTTTCTAGTGTAAAACTTATTAGGAATTGTACAGGTGCATCAATTTGAGGAACATAATTCAGAAATTCCACCTCTAAG